CGTTGTTTGCGGAAATGCAGAAGTAGTGGCGCTCCTTACTGACACTATCAATCTTCTGAAGCCGGCTAGTGTCCCGGTTAGCTCCCGTGAGAGAGCCAATTTTCTGATTTAGGGGTATCCTTCACAGAGCAACTAATGTCGGCCTACTACAACTCAACCCTTCGACTTGTAAGCCATTATAGTAGCGATCAAACGGGAATGGGTACTGGTTCGTCACTCAGCAACGTGATCCTTACATCGATCATAAGATTACCCTCATCATCACAGTACAGAGGGTTTGGCTCCAAGGTGCTAAAGCTGTGCTCCAGTTCCAACACATGGCGGAAAACGCACTTGAAACGTAGCGCAAGTAGCTTAAGAAGGTTCCCTCAGGTCTACAACTTAAAGCGTTCGACACCAGATCCCAGATGACCGAGAGAGAACGAAGTCTGACAGCGAGTCCCGTAATTCTTACTTTTGAAGCTGGCAACTGCGTAGCACAACCAAATGTTGAAACGATAGCGACTTTTCTAATACTTACTGAAACCGGGAATTCATCCTGTAACCATTCTACTAGCCAATATGAAGCGGCTCAGAGTTCGATGTCAGCAGTTCACAAAAATTCCGGTTAGTTGCCGACGTCGCAAGAGTCGGCAAAAGCTCGAACTTGTCAATCGCACCTTCAGATATACTTCTGACTTTCGAAGCACTCTCTTGTATGTATACCAAAGCTCAGGGCCTCTGCAATGAATTATCCGAACTTCAATCTTGCCGCACGTCGATGTCTATGGACCTGATAATGATAACTGAGACTTGGCTGAATGATGAAATCACAGAGGCAGAGATCGCTCTACCTGGTATGTTCGTCATATGTAAAGATCGACGTAGGATGGGAGGTGGTGTAATTTCGTACTACCGCAGTGGTCTACATTTCCAATTCGTTGACAGTCCACAGCTTCAAGTTGCGGACTCACTGTGGTGTCGTCTGCAACTAAGACATGGTGATATATGTTTACTTGCCGTTGTATACCGTCCTCCCATATCCTCTCTGAAAATGAAAAACCGTCTATCATCTGCACTAAAAACTGTTCTGGCTCTGCCTAACTCTCACGTTCTCCTCGTAGAGGACTTCAACTTGCACAGACTGGATGTTCCGTCCTCACCTGGCGAGCAGTTTAAGACCAAACTACAATAAGTAATGGCCAATCTACCACTACATAACTACGTTACTTCCCCTAAGAGATTCAGAACGGGGAACAATCCGGCCATTCTTCACCTCGCCTTCACCAATGAGGAATTTATGGCTGACACAGTGACAGTGAGTAGCCACCTGAGGCACAGTGATTATGCAACACTGCTTTTCCGCTACGTCTGCTACGCTGAACAGTCCAACAGGGCAATTTAAGAGGTCCGCATAATAACACATCACAACATTTTTTCTGACCTCATCAAGATCCTTGATTGGTCGTTTCTCGAGGAACAACCCCAGATGTCGCTTGGGGAAAGTCCGTCAATCAGTACAGCACTTTAGTAACAAACGCATCACTGATTGAGGCTGTTAGATCAAATAAAATCAAGTCCTTCGTGAGAAGCAAAACGCGGAAACGAATGGTTGTTTCACTTTGGAATACAGCCGTGGAACTTACTTACGCATTTCTTCATATCTGCTCCTACGTTGTCCGAATCCGAAACTCCACTTGATACTGCATTGCATGATTTGACCCAAGTTACTGGGACACACGACAACGCAACCACACAATGTGTACACTGCTACGCATTATTTGTTTTAATACATCTATTTTTGATCTCACCGTTTACCTACGCGAACTGTTAAGTGTTTGCTTTTGTATCCGTGGTAAATTCATTGTTCCAATCGATTACTCTGACAGTAACCCTGACTGCAGAGCAGTACCATGCACAAATTTAACTCATTTTCTGCTGTGATCTTAACATTTCTCCATTTTTACATGTTGTAGAAAATGGTGAACAAACACTCATATGAGGTTTGGATTATTGTAAAAATATGACAAATTTTCTTACTGTCCTTTTTTAAGGACGCCAACAACAAATGATACCATGACATGGGTATTTAAAAGGAAACATGAGACCGCATTTTTTAACACATACACTGGTTTGTGGATTTGAAACAACAGTGTTTATTATTTTTTCAGAGATAATATAACAGACAGTTGCTCATTATAAAGGTATATGTAGCCCACATTTACACAAAAAGTGTGTTCCATTGTTCATGCGTGGTATGCCGCAGAGCACACTCTGTGTATTGACACCACACACTGGACTGAGTAGATTGGCTTACTTCCCACTGGACGGCATCCTATTGATTTTGGCACTGATTTCAAGTGATCTCTAAAGGAGGATTTTCTGATTCTGTCTTTATCTCTGCTTGATATACTTGCAAGCAAACTTCCACGCCGGCTCGTTTGAAGGAAAGCATGTCACGCTGCTTTTGCTCACGTGCAAATGCTTTTCTCTACAAAAGCCAAGCATTGTTTATGGCAGCATCAGGGAGAAAAGCGAATAGCGGCCACCATCACTTTGTGCTGGGAAACTGATTCTATGTTGACCGACATTTTGGTCCAATCGATCCACTCTTCCCATGGAAGCGTTATACTAGCTTATGCAATAAATATGGGCTTTTTGTCCTTCACCGGCCTCTCTCACTCTTTACTTTTCTCAGAGGATATACGCCAACAGAGTTAATGTCAAGAGTCACGACAAAATTCTCATTCCAAGACAAAACAAACACGTTATCTTGCCTGTCAAACGTAGTCATAAGTACCTCTGGTTTTCCCAGGGCTTTAGTGTCAATGGGGTACTTATCTGTACTGTTTGCTCGAATTGTCCCCATTGCTCTGATGCCTTTGTCAGTTAAGGCTTTCATTAGCGGCGAATCTGTAAGGAAACTCTCAAAGAACATGGGATAGGGTCGCCCCTTCGAGACCTTACCCACCAGACCCATAACAACGTCATAATCTAAGCCTAATCTCTTATCATATCAGTTCTCAGTTCTCATATTTGGCCTGAGCTCAGTGGTAGAGATCCAGATAGACAGCGTAACCTAGAGGTGTTGCAGTGACCCACTGTTTATACCCGAATCTACTAGGCTTTCCTTTGATGCATTGCTTTCATCTATGACAGACGTAATATGTGGTATTATACTTTCATCCACGCGCAGACATTCCGTGGGAAAGAATGTTATAAATCTTTCCTTGAGAAGGCCATACACCGGTCTAACTTGTGCAAATTTCTCATCTGTTTGGAGGTTGTTACTGTTTGCCAGATGAAGAGACTTTATGATTGTGTCAAATATGTTCGGATTCATTGTACCACTGATTGCTGCATTGTAAACATCTTCTTCATGATCCCAATACATGTGCTTTCGTGGTAATGAATTATAGCCAGAGACAAACAGAATAGATAGCAGAGCACGCATTTCATCTGTAGTTTTACTGAATGAATGATCACTTTTTGAACAGGCGTGCTCAATTGTCTGCCTTCTCCTGTGGTCAATAACAAAGTTATCAAAGAAGCGTTCAAACGGTGTATAACCCTCTTTTAAGAAATCAGGTGTCCATTCAGACCATTATCTCGGATGCTTGAGTCCCATACGCATCTCCTTTTATCCATAATCTACGTCTGCTATTCATTTAAGAAGCAACCATAGAGGCAGCATCTTCCTTTTGTAAACTTTTATTGATACTTTCTGGTTTCTCCTCGGATGGTTCACCCTCCATCTTGAATGTAATTACTGATCCATGAGGCAATGCTGTGGTAGCCTCAGCGTCATTGAGTAACTGCATGGCTGATAGATCACCAGTAGGATAAGTATCGTGAATCACGTCATTGATGTCATCTTCGTCAGAGTTTTGTCCTTCACCCTGTGGTGTAATGTAAATATTGACTCCCAGGACACTGTCAGCTTCTTCTGTCATGGTGATAACGTCTTGCACCGAATACATTTTGTGATCCCTTTTGAAGAAGAAAGATTTGAGGTGTTGGGATATGATTTACATGCATTTTTGACAAAGAAAGTGACATTAAAAGAAAATACATGTTATTGCAATTATATATATATATATATATATGTATAAAAACAATGCACATATAGTCACTTATATTATCAACAATTTAGTTATGCCAAGCTACATGTCACGATATCATTTGTTGCCGGCGTCTTTAAAAAAGGACAGGTGATTGCAGCTCATGGATGCAATAACTATCACACATTTTAAATCATTATGTCTGCAAACGCAATTTAAACATATAACTACAAATGTCTAGGAAAGATTTGTTACTTTTCCGCGAAATATTGCTAATATGGGATTTTCCTTTTCTTCCGGATTTTGGCTGGCTATAGCGACTTCAAAATATTGCCTATTCATTTGTTATCTTACATAGCAACCAATGAAAGTATTAATAATAAGCTATTTCAATGCCATAAACCATTGTTTAGCAAGTGTCCTTAAAGAGACACCAGTAAAAGTTGTGTTAAGGTGTATGTGGACCGTGGTACTTGCTCCATAATTACACAACACAAACGTTTTTGCAATTCATTAGTATGCGACGATGCGTGTTTACATGCTGGCTATCACGATCTGCTTACTGGACTTCGTCCCTACGCGTTTATTCACCGCACTTGTAGCCCGCACCTTTACCAGTGACGATGCGTATTGATTGTCTATACTGTTGTCAGTCACATGTATCTATTTTCGGGTTTATCTCATTATCTTTCCAATCTGTTAACTGTGGGGAGAATGCAAGCTACTGCGATACCAACCATCCAACAGTTCTTAGGGTTTATGAACGATCATATTACACTGTCAAATGGAGCAAAACACCGTACTGTCTTGATTTTACAGTTTATGCTCACCACTCAGATAGCCTCGGTTGTGGGTCACAGGTAGCCAGTATAACTGCCTGCGGGTTTTTATCTGCTGGCTGTCACTATTGGGCACCCTATACCCCTCCCTATATATTAGCTAAATCGTTTTTCAGCTCATATGCTTAGCGCAGTTTACTCGCTGTACTCTTTGTGGTGTTTTTTTCCTTTTCAATTGCAGCAACAGTTAATCGACTTTGAAAAGTCAGAGAAGTTAGCCACGCTTCGCGAGAAGCTATTCAGTGTGCATGGGGAATGGCCTCCTGAAAGAAGGCTTGCAGATTCTGAAGCTTTACGTGCCGCTCTCGCTGCTGAGGAATACTTTTTGTTACACAAAGTATATCCAGACGAAACCTCCCTATGTGCCGATACTGCTTCTGATCACAGTGTCTCAATGAAAGAAGGTGATGCGGTGGTAAAAGATATTAAAACTCCCATTCATCGCCTGAATTCTTCCTTCTATACTGTGCACTGTCAAGGAAAACCTATACAATTGAGTGAATTTTTATCCACCCGTGCTCCTCCGCCAGTCGATGAACCGCCAAACGACGAGTCGTCTTCCTCATCACAATAAAGCCACTGCACTACAAATGCTCACTTCAGCTTCGACACGATTTTCCTCGAATAGGGGCACTTCATCTCCCTGCATTTTTCTATTTTTTACTTCCCATCCTTTTCTTCACACCATTAAATCTGTGATCTTACTTGCACTGAATTGCCATCTTGTTTACGGCAACGTTTGAATCCATTGTTTCCTTCTCCCAAGATATACTTCTGTGACGCGCGCTTTATTTGTGCATTTATCCTCAAGACACACCAGCTGAAATGCATATCAACATCGCTTCTTCCTCCTGCTAGGCAGGCTACGCAACCGGACAGTCTTGCCGCTCGCTCATTAAAACTTTTGATCCTACCTGCTCAACCTCAAGCTTACCACAAATTGAAACTATTTTTAACAGGCTGGCTTCAGTAGAGCTTTTGAAGTGAACATTTTTCCAATAATTTTGTGCATTTGAACATTCAATTACAAGTAAACATAGTATGCGTATTCTTTAGTATTAATACATCTGTACACCCACCATTTGCAACAATCAGACGGTACTAAACAAATTCCTTCGGCAACTATCATACTTCATCCATATAGCGAAAAATTCCACGTGCTTTCTTCCCGCTGCAAACCTGAGTACACATTTTACATGTTTGTACGAAAATCGAACTTCCTTGTGAGTTGGTTTTGGTGTTAGACCCTCCACAGGTTTGGTAATCTTGACTACGTACCTTTGGCAACGTTTGTACCAGATGTACACTTCCTAACGCACACCGTCTCACTGGAGCACTGCCGATCGAATGGATAATGCGGTCCTGTTACCAGTAACTGCAGATTCCGCATGCCAGTTCAAGGTTGCCGGTCTATCCTCCGCGCAGTCCTACTATGCTTTTGTCCGCGCACCCGGATACTTCACACTCCCCAGCCCTCAGCGTAGTACTAAGCCTCCAGGTTTCCTATCCATTGCCTAGGTTCACATCCTGCTGATTGACTGATGCTTATTGAACCACCGGCATACAATACAGAAGGCCTCGACTACCGACTGTCTGTTAGGTTTGGCAACTATGATCCGTCCATAGTGCAACAATTGCGTCCATAGTACATTCGCATTCCTCCTTTAGTCATGCTCCTTCTTAAACAATCTCAAGCATGATCGATCCAACCGGTACGGACGCATTTAATTGCTTGCTGTTGGTGTTGGTGGTCAATTCAAAATCAGCCAATAGCATACACCATGGAGTACCCGCGTGACTGTGGACCCAGACACTGGGACGACGTCGCGTGCGCGCAGAACGAACGCGCTTTGGGATAGCAACATACGCGGCAAGCCGCACGTACTACCTCACACCTGGCGTCGATTGAGCACGGTGTACATGGTTCTCAGCCATCCTCCGGTCTATACCATTTCTCGGCCATGTTATCTTGTGCAACAGAATGAATCTGAGGGGGCATCCAACATGAGTCTACTCAATTACTTTGAGCTGTGCGTTGGCCACTTACTTGTACAGGTGTGTAGGTCTGCGTGTATAACCCGTCGCCTTCAGCCAACTGGACCTCAGACGCACTAAGTCTTAGGGATGCAGGTGGGACGCTTCAGTTCTGCCAGATACAGTATTGGTGGCCGATACACCAGGTTGGCCATGGTTTCTCAAATTAATTAAGTAGACTCATGTTGGATGCCCTCTCAGATTAATTCTGTTGCCCAAGACGACAACTTGGCCGAGAAATGGTGTAGTTGATATTATTTGGCGGGAATTGGTCGTTTCAGAAATTTAAAGCAATTAGTCCCCTTCAACAATTTGAAAAGTACGGAAAGATGACGAAGACTGGTACATGCATGCATTTCGTATTGTCTCCTCAGTGCCATTAACAATAACCGATATGCACAGATATAGCTAACAGTGAGTGCAACCAGACAAGCTTGAGGTGCAGAACGAATGACACACCTACGTCCAAGGCAGCTTTAGGCTGACAAATAATTGTTTCTGAACACACAAGGCTGGCTTAATCCGGCTTATAGCGACAGCCTCAGCAAACCGAAGGAAGCGGGGATTAGTGTGACGTAACACCACTTTGAACGCTCGTTGGTTAGTGAAGTTACTATCCGCTGAATCAACAGTCCAATCCGTACAGTCTTAAACACTCGTTTCAACTCATCGGTGATCTGGATGAACTCAACCTGTCAGACAATATCCTATGTTCTTTGGATGTAGAATCCTTATTTAACAACGTCCCACTACATCAGACGGTTGATTACGTGTGCGAATTAACTGAAAACGGTTGCTGTTATCTACCAATTCCGACTGAATTAATGAGAGAATCTCTACTATTGTGCACGGACAATGTAGATTTTCACTTCGGAATACAGCATATCGTCAAATTGACGGCGTTGTAATTGGTGGCCCATTAGATCCTGCTCTCGCTGATTTCTTAATACTGCTGGTAAAACGAAGCATTTCTACGGAAATAGCCCAGGTGCCCAACTACAAACTGTATGTCGATGGTATCTTGGCTTTCTGTTCGTCGGCGCAGCAGCTAACACATTTGGTTGAACGGCTTAACGGTGCTCCTGCTAACCTACGGGTTGCATGCGAAGTAGAACAGAACAATTGTTTGTCATATCTGGACATATTCATAAGTCGCAGGGATGATGGATTGATTAAGAGGTCCATTTACCGAAAACCAACTTGGTCCGGTCAGTACCTGTACTTTATTAGTGCGATACCAACGGGCATTTGTGAAGACTAGTTAGTCGAACCAGACGAATTTGTTCGGCCGACTGTCTGGACGATGAGCTAGCAACACTAATGACGAACGGCTACCCTCAAAGATTTATCGAGAAATACAGCCAACCGCGAGGACCAAAGGACTTGGTACACACGGCAGCCAAGAAGAAAGTTTTTATCGAGTTACCTTTGAAAGGTGATTTAACTATGCCGAAGACAAATAAGCGTATAATTTCGGCTACACAAGGATGTTACCATGCTACACAAGTTGTCGTCGTCAACTGAACCCCAAATTTGCCCGTACCCCCAACGAAGGAAGCTCATCCTATTGGGGCCAACTCACGCCATGTGTTTCAATTTGTATGTGACTACGGAAACAGTTACATAGGCAGAACTAATAGGACTCTGACTTCCCGAATAAAGGCGCATGTACCAAGATGGTTTCAGCGTGAAGTTCCTCAGATTGCCTACCGACGTCAGCTTCCGTGTTCACGCAGACCGCCAGCTTCCTCGATAGGCAAACACCTATTAGACTCGGGTCACCGGATAGAGCTGTGCCCAGCGTTCAAACTTGTGTTATGTCACACTAATCCCCGCTTCCTTCGGTTTGCCGAGGCTGTCGCTATAAGCCGGATTAAGCCAGCCTTGTGTGTTCAGAAACAATTATTTGTCAGCCTAAAGCTACCTTGGACGTAGGTGTGTCATTCGTTCTGCACCTCAAGCTTGTCTGGTTGCACTCACTGTTAGCAATATCTATGCATATCGGTTATTGTTAATGGCACTGAGGAGACAATACGAAATGCATGCATGTACCAGTCTTCGTCATCTTTCTGTACTTTTCAAATTGTTGTAGGGGACTAATTGCTTTAAATTTCCGAAACGACCAATTCCCGCCATAACATTCTGGTTGCTGCATCACATTGTCTGCCTGAGGTGCAAGTTAGGGTGCTTGCGGGTGGAGATAACTTTTCCATCGAAGTGCGTTATCGTGCATCGTTATCCTTGTCCATTTCATTTACTGTTGGGTAGAAACAAACTCAAACCCTCTGCAGCTAACCTCAGACGTGTGGCGTCCGCTCACCTAGAGACAGCTCAAACCAGACTTGCGGAACTACTAGCAACTCATGCACGCTTACTACCCGTGGTCGAGGATCCTTCTCTATGTTGCCAGGTTGTGTTCACTAACTTTTATATATCAACTCTTGATCTAGAGAGACGAAATCGCTCTGCTCGTTTAGAAAATTCACTGATTAACAACCAGGAGGAGGAACCAATTGCTCGTGATCCCAGTAAGTACGTGAAGAATTTATCGAACGTACAACTTGATGCGTTGCAGTTAAAAGCATTATCACTTGGGATTGATTACAAAGTCCCGCCTAGGAAGTTGAACGGCTTGTTTATAGATGCCCACTTTGAGGTTCTTGTTAATGATACTGAGATAATACGAAATGTATACATCTACCAGTCTTCGTCTTCTTTCCGTGCTATGCACACAGTGTCTGCTCGTTATGCGTTGCGTTCGCCCATGCCGGTCTACAATGTAATGGTGGGTGCACGCACGACACTACTGAAGCAGGGACCAAGTGTTGCGGAAGGCTGGATACCTATACACGAGAATTGACCCCAGCACAAAGCTTTGAACACCGTCCCTCGCGTACCATGGACACAAGCGAGAGCGGTGCGTGAGGTAATGGCTGACTGCGGCTACACGACTTAAGACAAGTGTGAACTGGTGCATTGGGTTCGCGAAGTGGATACCGCGCTTCTTGCACTCCATCATGCTGCGCGACACTTGAGCCTGCGCACGGATCGGAATTCAGTGAACGCCCTTGCGGTCCTAAGTGTATGTTAACCGGTGGACATGCATTACGCTTGAGGATGACTGAAGTCACATACAGCCTGGTACATGTGGGATACTCCACTTACCTTCATCTGATTGCACACTGGACAGTGTGTAGGCGACTGTCACAACGCCTTTAGTTGTGTGGACGATTCTTATTCTGTCGAACGCTACGTCACTAGCGTAAATGCAATCAGCAGACGGCTCAGGAAGTACTGCCTAAGTCGGTACAACTTAGTTGTCGCAGCGATCGCAGTCGACCTCACGGTCCTCTGTTAGGTGACAGACAGCTCTTCAGCATCCCGAAATGGTTCAGTGGCGAACGTCGTTGGCGTTGTCTCTACGTATCTCAATACAACCGGTCTTCTACAACGATGTTAACCTAATGGACTATGCCATTTTAAGCCACCCAAGATAGTCCGCTCAAAGTAACAGTCAGTAAAATGACTTCCTCTTTTTAAGCACGGTAGCCATTTTGCAGCACCAACTGCGTACAATCTGTCACCCACCATCTCGTCAAGTACTCACAACACCTGGTCTGCCACCATTACTAGCACTACAATTGTCATCCTGATTGCCTCGAAACTGCAGGCCCCACTATGCTCCTGAACACCATCGTGCATCCCTGAATGGGGTTCTAGCTCGATGAAGCGGAGCGAGTCACAACCATGGTCTCATGCTACATAGAAACTACACCAGTTCTCTTGGGACACACATGTTATTGGAGTACCATCGATTTAAAAGCAGATGAAATGAAATACTCGAACGAACTTATTTTCATGTGCCGCATCATTCCTTGGCCATGCTGTGTCACGCGGGCTCGTGCTTCTGATACAGTACGCTCCGGGAAACGCATCCACTACTCACCCTTGCATAGGATACCCTCGAGGTCTTCCTGGATCAACTCGAAGTGCCGCTTCCTCATAACTTGCTTTGCAGACGTCTTTATAATGCTCCAAATGCCTTTAATGGGATTCTGTGATGGAGAATATGGTGTATGACGTCGGCATCAGCAGTACACCGGTACACAGTACCGACGCTTCGCTGCCGCCCAACTACCAACATTTGCACGTGGGCTAATGATATTGCGACGGTCGCCCTGTCTCTACGCAGGCTTGAACCCGCGCCGTCAGATTACAAAGCTTGTTACCTTTAAGC